CGGACCGGGACCGGGCCGTCCGGTCCGGCCGTCCGTACGGACGTCCTAACCGAAACGTAGTAGTACCTACCGAACGTACGTACGTCGGCGCCTTCTCTCCCTCCTCCCTCCCTCCCTCCTCTCTCCCTCCCTCCCCTCCTCCCTCCTCCCTCCTCCCTCCTCTCTCTCTCTCTCTTCTCTCGCGCCGCCCCTCCTCGTCCTCCTGACTCGCAGTTCGACCCAGCCGAGGGCGACACGACAGCCGAGCGGGCGCAGAGCCTGGCACTCCTCTCCAAGCTGGGCAAGGGCGCGCCCACGTCGTCGTCGATGCGGCGCAAGATGGCGGGCCAGGGCGACGACGAGCTCGTCAATGCGCGGAAAGCCGTCAAGTTTGCCACCAACGGCAGCGGCATCAATGCCCTCAAGGGCAAGGGCCGCTCTGGCGCAGCAGGTGGAAAGAAGGGCGGCAGGAAGTGACGAGGCGTGGGGCCCCCACCCCCTTCTTTCCCCTTCCCCTTCGCCTTCGCTCTTGTCTTCGCGACGTCCTTCCGATCGTTCTGCATTCATTCACAAGTGTTGTACATACAGTCGTAACCATTCCCGAGCCAGGGCCGCTGCCTCCTCTGTGCAAACTACTCGACGCCACGCCACATTACAACCGCCTGTGCTGGTCCTCTTCTTAGACATTTCGCCCTCGCACGCGAAACCAGCCCGTCCACCTACTCATCATCGGACACGTTGGCCTGAGCAGCGGCGAGCTGGTCGGTCCAGTGTCGCGCGAATTCGGCGATGCCCTGTCCGTTGGACACGTCAATGACGTCCTTGGGCACCATGTTTTGCGAATACGTCGGAAACGACTGCGACGCCTGCGCGTGCGATGTAATCAGACGCAGTGGCGGCAGCTCTTGGTCCTCTTCGTCGGAGGAGGAGGAGGAGGAGGAGGAGGAGGAGGAGGAGGAGGAGGAGGAGGAGGAGGAGGAGGCAGGAGGAGGATTGGGCATCGCTGCTGCGATTGGCTGAGGATAAAAGGCCGGGCCGGGATACGACGGCGGGGTCGGTATCCTGACTCGGTCCCTCTACCTCCTGCGATGCGGATCGGATCGGAATCCGCACCACATCCTGCTCCCCCTCCTGGCCTCTCTCCCTCTCCTCCCTCCTCGCCACCCTCTCAACCGCCAGGGCCTCAACCTCCTGCCACTCCCAGAGGATAGGATCGGTACGCGGCAGGAACGGGTTGACGTCGACGACAAACACCCGGCCCATATCGCGGGTGAGGTAGGCGTCAAAGATGTAGTCGGCGATGGGCATGCGCGGCCTCAGCACCGCCTCGAAAAAATCGCCGATCCGCCGCCGCACCGTCCGCTGCACCTCGGTCGGCTGGAGGTGCTCGAAAAAGGTAATGTCGCGCTGCGACAGGCAGACGAGCGTGTGCCGCCGCACAAAGCACCGGAACTCGTGCGACTTGGGCATCTCAAAGTACTTTTTCAGCACCAGCGTCAATTCCGGCGTCGCTGGCGTCGCCGTCGTCGCTGTTGCTGCCGTTGCCGATGTCGCTGCCGCAGGTCGTGGCGGCTGTGCTGTTGCTGTTGCTGTCGACGGGGCAGGGTTGGCGGAATCGGAGCCGGACGAGACGGCAAGACGGGATGTGGCGGCTTCGAGCGTGTCCGGCCGCTCGTCTGCTTGCTGCCGCTGCCGCTGCAGCTGCGCCAGCTCAGCAGCCTGCTCCACGTCCTTTGTGACGAAATCGGAGCTCTTGAGGACGAGGTAGACGTCTTCGGGTGTGGTGCAGCGCAGCGTCGAGCCGGGCAGGATCCACGCGGCGTCCTGGGGCGCGCTCCAGTTGAGCTTGGGGAAGACGGCGCCATCGTACCTCGCTATGGCGGTACGTATCGCCGCATCGAGCGCGGCAAACGTGGGCGGCTCTTCCGCTTCCGCATCGTCGTCGTCGTCGTCAGAAGGTGCGCTGAGGACCTCGGCCTCGTCGTCGGAGAGGGACTGGAAGCGACCGTCCGGATGCGCCGGCGACGGCTTGGTGGAGATGTGGCCGGAGTCGCGCGGGAGGACGATGCTGTCCGCCTCGAGCCAGGGTAGGAAGTCGGGCTGCAGCGTGGATACGGGGATCAGGGTGGCCTTGGGCGAGTCGGAGCGGAAGAGCGGGTACCACGAGCTGAAGAGGGTGTGGTGCAGCGCGAGGTGGACGGGCGTCAGCGGCAGTGCCGGCGCCATGCCGCCGTTCTCGTCTTCGGTGCCTGTCGTGGTCGAGGCAGCCATGGTGGCGGTTCCGGTCGGCAATGGTTGGTGCAGAGGCGGGATGGAAGGAGGAGGAAGCGAGAGGGAAAGGAGGGGAAGAGAGAAAGACGTCAGGGTCTCGTCGGTGACTCTTGCCTCTTCTCGCGCCAAAATTCCCGTGGCTCAGCGGCACGGCGCTCCCTCCGATGCCCGACTTCCGAGGGTCGACCGACAGAGGGAAAGCGGGCTCGAGGGTCGAGGAGCAACCCCCACCACCTCCGCCTTTCGCTTCTCGTTCTCGCATTCCGCACTGGGCCCTCTCTCTCTTTCTCTTTCTCTCCATCTAGCCGACACCGCCTCGCCACCTCAGCATCCACCATGTCGCACGTCCTAGAACCGCTAGACGCACCCTCATCCTGTAAGCACCCTCCCCGCCCGCCGCCGCTCCCTCGCTCGACGTCCCAAACTAGCTTGGCTGACCTATCCTCTCCTCCTCCTCCTCCTCCTCTTCTTTCTTCCTGGCGCCCGCTCAATTCTCATCGGACAGACCGCGACTCGCGGGCGCGCGAAAACAGGCAGGAGCAGCAGCGCGCGCTCCAGTCGACGGCGACGCTGTACCTGGGCAACCTCAGCTTCTACACGACCGAGGAGCAGATCTACGAGCTCTTTTCGCGCGTCGCCAACCTCGGCAGCGGCGGCGGCATCAAGCGCATCATCATGGGCCTCGATCGGAATACAAAGACGCCCTGCGGCTTCGCATTCGTCGAGTGGGTAGATTGGCCCACGCGAAGCACAGGTTCGAGACGGTCGCAGGGTTCTCGGCTCATCCCTCTTGATACTCGTGCGCCCTCTTTGTCCTTATCCCCGTCGTCGACGGTCGTCGCCGCCTCCGCCTCGCAGGTTCTACACGCACGCCGAAGCCGTCGACTGCATGCGCTACATTTCGGGGACCAAGCTCGACGAGCGCGTCATCCGGTGCGACCTGGATCCGGGCTACAAGGATGGGCGCCAGTACGGGCGTGGCAAGAGTGGCGGGCAAGTGCGCGACGAGTACCGCCAGGAGTACGACGCCGGGCGCGGCGGCTGGGGCCACAACCGGCTGCGCGAGGAGGAGGAGCGGAAACGCATCGAGGCAGAGGAAAAGGAGCGCACGCGCCGCGAGGCCCGCGAGGACCTCTACCGCGAGACCGAGGCCGGCGCCAGCGGCGGAGGCGGCGGACTCGTTCCCGAAGGCGCAGAGGGGCAGTACGACGAGACCGAGGGGAGGAGCAGAGGCTTGGACGGTGCTGCATCTACCGAAGCCGATGGCGGAGGTGGCGGCGACGAGGCGGCGGCGACGCAGCAGGGAGCGAAGAGGGCCAGAAGCCAGGACGACGAGGACCTCGAGCAGAGCCACAAGGTACGTGTGCTCCCCAGCCCCCCGCTCCGTGATCATCGACGACAAGAGCAAGCCCCTCTGCGTCTCCTATCGACGACGCTGACCCCCTTCCCTCATTGTCCCCGCCTCGCCACCTCGCAGAACCCACGCTTCCGCGGCGAAGAGAGGGACGAGGAAGAGTAGCCCGCGCCGTCCTCGCCCACATCGGCGCATCCGCGCAACTTCTAACTGTACTCTAGCATCGCATCGCTACGCTGACCCCGTCGCACCCTCCTTTTGACACACGCATGGCAGTCGATGCAGCGATCGAGGGCACTTCCGAGGATGAGCATCCGAGCTCGTTGCACAGCTCATTTGGCAGAGGTAGGGGTATACGAGCTGACGAAGGGGAGAGTGGCAGTTCCGAGGGAGGGAGGAGGATGGGGAAAGAGCCGCTGGGATGAGGGCCTGCGTTGTCCGACAAGAGGATCCGGTACGACGGCGAGCAGCAGGTCAGGCTACGCCCGTCGTCATCGCCGCCGCTGCTGCCGCCGCCGTGCCGTCCAAGCGGCATCCGGGGTTGACCCTCCGCGTATCGTCGACGTGCCAGGCGGTACGATCGATCCAGCTCTCGAGCTGCACGCTCCTCCACCCGAGGCCGTTGCGCACGTTCTTGGCAACGCTGCTCGTCGCAAACGGGTTGGGGTCCTTTTCCCTCCGGCCCGACGGCTTCTTGACGCCGCAAAAGGCCAGCGCCGCCCAGCAGTACATCGACACTGGGTTGCTCAGCCCGCCAGGACGGCCGTAGACGGAGTCGACGTCGTCGTCGTCCTCGTACCTCTTTTCGGCGCCGAACTCGCGCGCCGTCGAGATGCGGATCTGCTCGACGGTGGTGCGGTTGAGGAGGATGAGGCGGACGTGGTAGGCGAACAGCGTCGCTATCGGGCCCAGCCCCGAAAGGGTGAGGACAAAGAGGACCGCAGAGACGGGCGTGTCGGCCAGCGCCTCGCGGAAGCTCTTGTCCGGCGCCGGCTGGCCGCGCGGGAAGGTGAAGCTCGAGGGCCGCGTGAGGAAGACGAGGTGGATCACGGTGAAGGCGATGACCAGCAGCGCAGAGAGGATGCCGGCCGTGAGGAACACCATGAACGGCACATAGTTGCGCCGGCCGATGCACGTGTTGAGAAAGTCGCAGTGATGGTCGATGTTTTCAACGCAGTTGTCGCACACGCGGCAGTGGCTGCTGCGGGGCGGACGGTAGGTGCCGCACGTCTCGCACCACTTTACGCGCACGTCTTCGCCGCGGATGCGCACCACGCGCTGCACGGGGATCGCCAGCGGATCCGCAGGGTCGGCAAACGGTTGCGAATCCTGCGGACCTGCCTGGCCCAGCGTGCACGGCGGATCCGGATCCAGATCGCGCGGCACGACGCCCGGATCCTTCCAGGCCGTGACGAGCATGTTGACGAGCATCAGCAGGTAGACGTAGGCGAACACGGCCACGACAGCGGGCGAGACGTTGTCGACGAGCCACCTTGCCTCGAACCCGAGAAAGAGGCCGCCCAGGGCCAGCGCGTAGGCGAGCGAGCCGAGGAACGGCAGCGGGTTGCCGCCGGACGTCATGACGAGTCCGTGGCAGAAGAAGCGGTTGGACCCGCTATGCAGCCGGTAGTTGCGCTTGCGGGGCAGCGAGGTGGGCGGGATGGTGATCGACACGCTCGAGGCGCCTCCTCGACCGGCCGTGGCCGCAGACGAATGGCGGCTCGCCGCGAGCGCCGACTGGCGCCTCGACGCTATCCGGTCAGGGGATCCGCCTCCGCCGCTGAAAGCTGGGTCTGTCCTGTGCCGCAGGTGGGCCTTGTCGCTCTTGAGCGTGTAGCTCTGCTCCTCGTAAGCGCGCAGCCCCGGCCGATCCATGGCCTGCAGGAAGTGTTCGGGCGAGTCGGCTCCGGGCGCTTTTCCGACCCGGTGAACACCGGCACCTGCACCTGGGATCGCCCGCGCAGGGATGAGTGGGTCGGTGCTGGCGGCCATCTTGAGCGTCGAGCTGACGGATCCGGAGTGGCCGCGGCCTGCCGGAGCCAAGCCGTCGACTTTGGCATCGGCATCGGACGAGGCGAGCCGCGCGTGGGACGTGGAAGGCGTGCCAAACGAGCGGGCGTCGGCCTGCTTGTCCTTGACGGTGGCAGGCATCGAACCGATATGCGTAGCGCTCGAGAGCGAGTAGACGGAGCTCGAAAAGCCTCGCGGACTGGGCGATCGATTGCCGCGAACGCCTACATCGCCCTGCAGACTGAGGTTGGAAGCACTGTTGGCCGCTCGGAAGGGGTCTAGCTGCTGGTTTTGCTGCTGCTGCTGCTGCTGCTGCTGCTGCTGCTGCTGCTGCTGGCTGGGGGTGGTGGAGCTGGGGCATCGGCGAGGAGGCGTCCTGGGGCGGGGCTGCTGGCGTGGGCGCTCGCGAGTACTCGTCGAGCTGGGAAAAGGGGCTGCGGCTACGGTCGTGCAAGATGGGCGAGACGGCGCCATGGCGGGCGTTTGGCTTCTTTGGTGCAAAGAAGCCTGCAGGCGGTAGGATGGACGAGGTGGTGCGGCGATCCTTTCTGCGCGGCACGAACCCGCCTTCGTCGGCGTCGTAGTCGTCGTGGTCCCCGCTGCCATGTGCATCGCCGAGGACGTGGCCCACACTGCCTTCGTCGATCTCGGCGTTGCGGACCGAACGTCCCGAGGCCATGCTGAGCCTGCTTGCAGGCCGCGCGACGCCGTCGGCACCTATGCTCGTGGCCGCCTGGCGGGTTGGGTCGGTGGTTGCATCGTGCATCGATCTGAGCTGGTCAAAGGAGCTACGCCCGTCGGAAGAGTACCGGTTGCGGGCGTTGGCGGTCGAAGCAGCGACGGCGGCGCGATCCCGCAGCTGTTGCTCGTGGTCCAGGAGCGAGCCGCTGCCGATGCTGGAACGGCGCTGCGGCGGAGGCGGGCTGGCGGGGAGGTTGGCATAGGCGGCGTTGCTGGTGCTGCCACCGCCAGGGCGATGAGAGGGGCCTTCGGAGTCGGACGAAGCCGATGTGCGACGAGCCGTACGCTGTGCTGATGAGGCGGAAGGGGCAGTGGCAGCCAGCTCTCCAGCGGCCGCGGCGGCGGCGGCGGCTTCCATGTCCGGCATGAGGCGAGCGTAAAGAGGTGAGTCGGTCGGGTCGGGGCGAGGGCCAAGGCGAGGGCAAGCGATGAAACGAATGTGGTGGTGGCGCTGTCCCGACGGTGCGCAGGCCGTTGGTCGTGATCAGAGGAACGAGTTCGCTGGCAGACTGAACTTTGGATCCCGAATCAGAGCGGAACAGCCGGTGCGATCATGCTGAGCCGAAGGAAAAGCGCCGAAAGGTGGGGGTTCGCTGGTACGATGGGGGCCAAGGCGGGAGGTGGGTGTCGGAAGAGCGAGGAGAGGGGATAAGAGAGGGAGGGGAGGGAAGAGGGGTGAGGCAGGGAGGACCGGGGCAAGGAGAGGATGATGAGGTCGGGGGTATGGGCGGAGCGAGGTCGGAATGGTGCCGACGGAGAAGGAGATGGTGACGATCCCAAGTGCGCGCCCAGCCTGGCTTGGCCCCTTGCCTTGCCTTGCCTTGCCTGGCCTGGCCTGGCCTGGCGCGGCACGCCTGCTTGTCTCGGCTTCTTGTCCGCGGCACCCAAGCAGCACGGCAGCCTGCGCAGGCGTAGGCCCAAGCTGGGCCCCGTCTCCCGGACCAGGGGCCGACTGACCGACCACATGGCTGCTCGGGATCGTCGGATGGCCCGGCCCCGACGTCGATCCTGGACTTGCGCTGTTGCTCTAGCTTCCGACCACCACCATCTCGACTCGTTGGCCTGCTCTGTCGCTATCGCTCTGGCACTTTACGACCACGATCACGACCACGACGACTCCCATGCACCACCCAACGACTATTGCGCCACGGTGACGCCCTCTTCCCTAGCCCTCAAAATGGACGACAAGACCGCCTCCTCCGCCGACCACCATGACAGCCGCAGGGGATCGAGGCACCGACCAGTCGCCGAGGCGCCCAGGTTCGGCGTCATGTGGGAGGTGATGCGCACCATTGGCGACCTCTCGCTGCCCACCTTTTTCTCGTCGGTCGCCGTCGAGGGGCTCGACAATGTGCCGCCCTCGTCGGACCCGCTCATCATCTGCTCAACCCACCACAACACCATCCTCGATGTCGCCATCCTCTCGTCGCACATGCCGGGCCGCCGGCCGCTCCACTTCTGGGCCAAGTCCGGCCTCTTTGTCAACCCCATCTCCAACTTCATCCTCACCTCGAGCGGCAACATCAAGGTCGACCGCAGGCACAAAAACAACCAGGCCCTCTTCCAGGGCACCTTCCACGCCATGAACCGCGGCGGCGCCATCGCCCTCTTCCCCGAGGGCGGCAGCTACTCCAACCCGGCCCTCACCAAGCTCAAGGCCGGCGCAGCATGGGCCGCCCTCGAGTATACCCAGCACCTCCGTCTGCAGGAACAGCATTCGCAGGAACAGTCGTCGCAGGAACAGGAACAGGCGCAGCAGCACGGACCGCCGACGTCGGCCGCATCCGACTCCCTCGGTCGAGCCGTAAAGATCCTGCCGGCGGCCATCGTCTACTCGGACAAGAGCCGCTTCCGCAGCCGCGCCATCCTGCGCTTCGGCAAGCCCATCACGCTCGACGCCTACGTCGATGAGTTCCTCTCGTCTCCCGTCTTTCCCGGCTCCGATGGATCCCGCGACGCCCGCGCGTCATCGCCCAACGTCAAGGACCCATCGGCCGAGCCATCGCCGGCGCACAAGGCGGTGGCTAGGCTGACGGCCGCCATTCAGGCCGCCATCGAGGGCATGACGTTCAACGCGCCGGACTGGGAGAGCTTCCAGGCGGTGCGGGCGGCCAGGGAGCTCATCTGGAACCTGCAGAGCGACGGCACCGGCGACAAGGACATCGACATGCGCAAGTTTGTCGCCGCTTCGAACGCGCTGCTCGCCGTCCTGACGCTGGACAGGGACGGCGCCCGGGCGCCATCCGGATCGCCCGTCCGCCGCGAGCTCTCGGAAGCGTCGAGGGATGCCAGGAGGGCGCTGTTCGCGTATGCCTGCTTGCTCCGCCTCTGCGACACCGATAGCCGAGTCCTCTCGCTCGTCATGCAGCGGCACGGGGGCGACTCGACCTCGACGGCGGCGGGCTCGCACGCCTCTCCGTCCCTGCCCGAACCTCGGGCGGCGTTGGCAGGGCTCTTCTCGGCGGTAAAGTCGCTCGTGATCCGCCTGCCCTACCTTGTGCCGACGTTCCTGCCGACGCTGCTGCCCACCTACCTGCTGCCCTCGAGGATCGCCCATCATTTCGCCAAGAAGGAGGAGGAGTCGCTGTCCTCTGTCAAGACGCTGGTGGGCTTCGGCTTCAGCCTGATCCTCTACCTCTATGGCCTCGTCGAGATGACGAGCTTCACGCGGTGGAACCCGTCGGGCTTCTTCCTCGGCGCCGTGGGCATCTGGTGGATGGTCGAGCTGAACCGCTCCTGCGTCGACACGGCCTACAGCCTGCTGCAGCAATGCCGTCTCGCCTGGGCCGTGTGGCGGGCTTCTGGCAAGGTCCGACCGGGTACCTCGGGCACCGCGGCCGTGCCCGAAGCGGAGGGGCGAGCGGGCCAGGCCAGGGCGAGCCAGGACGACGGAGCGCCCGCCGCGACCTCTGCAGCTGGGCGCGAGACGTTCAACCTGTTCTTCTACGGCACGCTGGTCCACCCCCAGGTGCTGTCGCGCGTCATTGGCAACGACGGCGCGCACCTGACGGTGCAGAACGGCATCCTGCCCAACCACGCCCTCTGCCACATCAAAGGCCAAGACTACCCGGGCTTGGTGAAGCAGCAAGACCTGGCGCGCATCTTCCCAGCAGCGACGGCCGCGCAGCTGGTGCAGTCCGAAAGGACGGCGGTCAAGGGGACGGTCGTGTGCGGCCTGACGGCGCAGGATCTGCGCTGCCTCGACACGTTCGAGGACGACGAGTATACGCGCAAGACGGTCGCGATCACCCTCGACCCGGCGAGCGAGGCCTGCTCCAACGCCGCACGCCTCGCGCGCGGAGACGCCGAGCTCAACCTCGAGAGCATCCTCGCGGCGCTGACGCCGGCTCGCATCTCGCAGCTGCTCGAAGCGTCCCGCGCGCCCGGATCGGGCGGTGTGGCCGGTGCGAGGCAGGTCGAAGCGCAGGTCTACATGTGGACGGCGTCGCTCGAGCTGCTCGAGGCCAAGGTGTGGGAGTTTGACGAGTTCGCCCGCGAAAAGGCCAAGAACTGGGTGGGCCAGCGGTGGGAGGGCGGCGAGGCGGCGGCCGAGATGGAGTTCGAGTACGAGATCGTCGATGCCGTCCGGGGCGAGGGGTCCTCGGCGGCCTCGTCGACGTCGGTTGTTGAAGCCCCGATGCCGGACGCCCTCGTTGCAGGAGCGGCCATGCCGCAGACGGAGCAAACAGACGCCGCGGGCGACGAGGACGAGGGCGATGCTGCGACGAGGACATGGCACGGCGCGGCCGCATCGACCCTCTCGTCGCACGGCGCGACACGGGAAGCCATCGCGCTGACCCTCTCGAGCCTGTCGAAGCATCCGAGCATCCAGTACTACGTCGACCAGGCGTTCTGCCGAGCGTCGTCAGGCGACAAGGCGGGCAAGAAGGTGCGACGGCCGAGCAAGATGGACGCCCACCTCGTCGCTGCGCTCTACGCCAGCCGGTTCGAGGCCAAGAGGTCGTTGCAGAGGCTCGTCGAAATCTCGGGCGTCCAGTTTGAGGATGAGCGAGAGTGCGACGGCGATGGCGGTGGCGACGTCGAAAAGGCGATGCGGGTGCTGTGGGACTGCTCGGTACGTGCCGACGTCAACGGTCGAGCAGGGTGGCCATTCGAGGTCGTGGACGCGACTGATGCCGTCGAGGATGGGGAGACGAAAAAGGATCGGTGAAAAAGGCGGCGCCGCTCTGTGATGCTCTGCGTCCATATCTTCGAACCCGCCTCTATGGCTTGGGTCCGCTGCAATCCCATACCCCTCTCGATGCCATCACTTCCTACCCTCGGCGTGGGCGATACCGTCGAAGCGGAAGCTGACGAGCCCCTGGTCGTCTGCGCGATCCCGGAAACCTCTCCACCACTCGAGAGCGTCTTTGGTCTTTTTTCCCTGCGCCTTTATGCGATCGACGAGGAGGAACTCGTTGCCGCCCGACGACGACGGTGTCTGTGCGTCCTTTGTTGTTGTGATGACGAGGGAGTTGAGGACCGAAGAGTAGGTCGCTGTACCGGGCGGTGAGGTGGAGAGGAGGGAGAAGACGTGCGGGTCTCGCGCGCCAAGGTCGGAGGAGGGAAGGACGCTGCAGCTCTCGAAGAGGGTTCGGAGTGGTGGAAACGTGGGTGTCGCGGGGTGTAGGGTGGTTGAGAGTGGGTACTGGACGTCGAACACGGATTTGGAACGGAGTCGAGGGGGGAAGGGGGGGCCGGTGTCAGCGATGTCTTTGCGAGCGAGCGCAAAAAGGAAGGAAGCGACGAGGGCTCGGTCGACGACTCACGAGATATCCGAACCCCCTCAACCTAGCCTCGATGTCCCTGGCCGACCACTTTTCCCAGCGCACCTCGAGGTTGGACCTCTTGACCTTGAACGCAAACGACACCTCGGCCTCGTCCTGGTCCCAACCGCGTCGCTCCGCACCGGGGAGGTCAGAGAGGACGTCGACGAGCAGCTCGGCTCCGCGCTGCGCCATCGTCTTTTCCAGGTCGAGGTACGTGGCGTCGCCCGGGATGGGGAGGCGCTGCTGCCCGAGGATCCGGCCCGCGTCGAAGCGACCGTCCTGGAGCGTCTGTACCGTCACCCCGCCCTCGTCGAGCCGACGGGCGATGGTCCACTGCAGCGGTGCGGCTCCGCGTAGCTTAGGGAGGAGCGAAGGGTGCAGGTTGAGCCGTTGCGAGGGCGAGGGGAACGAGGCGAGGAGCGAGGTGGGTATGAGGTGGCCAAAGGAGCAGGTGAGCAGTATCGAGGCCGGTGAGCGGAGGATGGCGGGCAGCTGGTGAGGCGGGGAGCAGCGAGATGGTCAGGGTCAGCGGTGGGTGCGCTACTCGTTGCTGTTGGGCCGCGAGGACGCACCTGGTAGTCGTCCAGGCCGCTCGGTGGTACGTGGTCGTGGGGAAGGCCATGATGCAACGCGAGCTGCTTGATGGGGGCTGCGGGCAGAGCAGGCGAGAGTCACGAGGGCAGTCAGCATCGCCGCGCCGTCATCGTTAGGTTCGACAGCTGCGACTGACCGATCTTCATGCGCTTGGCACCCCAGCCCTGCTTGGTATCCGGCGGGGTGAGGACATGGAGGTGGTCGCAGAGGTCTGCGGGGCGGGCAGCGAGCCGTGGAGAGGGGCGACTCTGTCAGTTGTACATCGCGCCCACACACACCCGCGTGAGCCATGTCCACGTTTGGAAGCGACATACCTGGCCGGTCGATGAGGGCCTGGAGCGATGCGCACGCAAAGGTATCGGTGCCGCAAAAGAGGATCTTGTACGGCGGCGGCAGCGGTGGTGGTGGTGGTCTGGCCGCCTGGTCCGCACGGCGTGGAGCGCTGTAGTGCAACAGCCGCCTCGAGCCGGGACGAGCGACGAGGCTCAGCGGCGACCTCAGCCAGCAGTGTAGCGGAGATAGCAGCCGTGTCTCTGCCATGATAGAGACGTGACGGATGCCAGAGCAGCTGGAGAAGGAACAAGAAGGAGGAGGAGAAGAGCGCGAAAGACGAGCAGCCAAGGTGGCCGCTCGAGGACCCTTTCCTGGCTTATGTAAGCCTCCTCGACAACGCCGCGCAGCTGGACGGGTGGCCGCTGCATCCCCTCCCTCCCCCTCTCCCCTCCCCGTATTCCCCCTCTGTCGCGGCAACCAGCACTGACGGCCATCGATCCCGGCGCGCACAGCCCACGGAAATGTCCACGATGGTCCACGATCCCCTCAACCAACTGCCAAGGTTTGTGGCGAAATCAGCCTTCAGCAGCCGCGCCCCCCCGCCGGAGCTCACCATCTGCATGGTCCCGCGCCTCGCCACCGTCCTCTGACAGCGAGATATGGGATGCCATCATCGACGCCCTCACGGCTCACGGCCCTCAACACGCCGTCAAGCTCATCTCGGTAGGCTGTCTGTCCTAGTCATTACAGGGTGTACTCGGGCCCTTTGAACTGACGATCCGACCACCCTTCCTCTCCGGTGGCCTTGCCCGCCCCTCGACTGGCAGACTTGCCGCCAGCTGCGCCACTCGTTTACCGGTCGAAGAGTGCGCTACCACTTTGCTTTGTGGCTTCATGGCTTACTTCCCCTGCCCACCAATATCCCCGCCGACGCAGACCGGCTCGCTTCCACCCTCTTCGAGTCGAGGTGGCCACCGAATCCCCAGGCCTGTACAGTCACGGCCCTCGAGCCACACATCTCGCACAGGCACTTTGCCGTTCACGACCAACACACGTGCGGCCTAGATCAGACGGTGGAAGTCCAGCTCTCTGCCTCGCGCATCTACGCCATCGCGCCCGATCTCAAGTCTCTGGTCGTCTCAAAGGTCGAGCACAACGGTCAAGTCACGCTCGAGAAACGCCTACCCCTGCCCGACCAGAGCCTACAGGGCATCCACCGCTTCGCCCTCGACGATGCCAGCCAGATCGTCCTCTTGCAGGCGATTTCGGAGGTTCGCAACGACACCTACGACGTGTCCCTCTTCCTCGTCGATCTCGTCACGGGCATGCCCTTGGCCAGCGAGCCGATCCGCTTCCACCTCTGGCCCGAAGACCACGAGGACCTCGAGCTGCAGCTCGTGGGCGATCAGATCCTCATCCTGAGCAGAAGCCACATTGTTCTCTTGCGCTGGATTCGTCCTAGCCACGCTGCCGCGCTCGTGCCCGATAAGCTCGAGTGCAAGATCACCTTTAGGCGGTGGTGGACCGATCCAGAGTCCTCTCGCGTCGTGACAGCGGCCACGCTCATCAACCACGAGTGTCTCGCCCTCGTCCTCAACGAGATTGGCGTGGATAGGGTCGGCGAGCCGTGGCAATCGCAGGCGGGCATACTCTACCTCGAGCTCTTGAAGCTCTCTAGCTTCGGCGACGAGAGCACGGACCTCGCCGTCGAGGATGCGCTGCAAGCCTTCCTTGTCGATGACTTCGATGGGAGATGGACCTACCATGCCGAGATCGTCCTGCCGGGTCAGTCCATGGTCGACCCCTTGAGAGGGAACTACATCAAAATCGGACTCGAGCCTGCTGCCCTTGCGGGCCTCGGAGATGCCGACAGCGACCTCAATTGCCTCGTCGTGGTCCGCGCCTCTGGCAACCCGTGAGTGGGCCGGGTCGCGGCAGGGATCGGCTCTGAATCGAGATTAGGCTAGGCCTTGTCTTTCTAACTTTGACCTGACTTTCTGCTGCACCGAACGACCGATCGTCTTCAGCTGGATCATGGAGCTGCGCTCGCTCGCCGAGCTCCTCTACCCCCGTGCGGCACTGACCATCTACTCGGGAGGCGGCCCGCGTTGGCCAACCCTCGGTCACGAGTGGTGTGAGTGTGGCACGGTTCGCGGCAGTCCGACTGGCTCGATGTGTCGTGGGCAATCTCGACATGTGCTCACACCGCCGTGTTCTCGTCGCAAACCCTCCCTCATCTCCCAGGCAAAGCAAACATGGTAGACACACTGATGGACCATTTCAAAAGCCCAGTGTCGTCGCTATCAGTCCGGGGATGGCGAGCGGGTAAGTCGCCCCGGCTCCGCTCCTTTGGCTCACAAGCTCGCTCGTGCATCCTCACATCCCTCTCACACGCACACGTACGCGACCGCTCTTCCTTCGGACCTCGCAGTTGCGGCTGTGCGAGTCGAACCAGAACGCGAAGAGGACCGCGCGGCCGGTTCGCCGCCGTACCTCGAACTACGGTGCATCGATTGGAACCCCAACTATACGCACCGTGTCGATCCCTCGATGCGGCTGAAGAAAAACGACTTTCGCGACGCCGCGAAAAGAGGTGCGATGCTGCGCGAGACGGGACGAGATAGACCGGGTACGTGCTGCGGAACCCGTCCAGCCCATCCGCGTGTGAACATGTGTAGCACCTTGTGGCTCTAACGTCCTGCCCTTACTTCTCTGCCCTCGTGGGCGAACCAGTGCTGATCACCAAGCATCCTCTCTGGGATACGCTACCCTTCCGACCCATCGACCGACACCCGCATACCGACGTGCGGGCCGACGCAGCGTGGTTCCGCATCGCTTTGGATCCCACCACGGGGATCCTCGTGCAGCGAATCGCCGAGATCGCCAGCGACGAGGACGTGGCCCGAGGTGGCAGGATCCGCGCCGACGACGATGACGACGTCGAGGACGAGGAGGAGATGCTGCGTAGCGAGATCTTCATCCTCCATGTCTAGTGCACACGCGCGCCGTACACGCGGCGGTGCGTCTCTCCCTCCGACTCGTCTGATTGGGTCGTCTTCAACTTCCAAATGCGGCCCCTCCGACGTGCTGGGCCTGCGTCAACGCCCCCTTCCCCGCCACGCCATATACCATGCCAGCAAATGGCAGATGCAACGCTGGCCTCGAGGCGATACCGTCTTTTACGAGTACCGATGAGGTGACGGGGAGCCGTCGCAAGCGACTCCGACCCGCCGACGTTGGGATTGAACTCCTGCGACCTTCATGTGCTCGTGGCGCCGCGGATGGCCGGCGTTCTGGCTCGGCTCTCGGCCCGTTGGCCGTGGCATCCGACCTCGAAGCTCTGTAAACGTCTCATCTCCATTACTTCCAACGCCGTCGTGATTTCCGGGTCGACTGCGTTACAGGAGAGCAGAGCCGTGTAGCAAGGGGCTGCGGCGTCTTGCGGCTTCCTCTGTGGTCTAGCAGCATCGTCGAGTCGCGAGGGCCCCACGCCCGCGTCCGCCACTTGCCTGATCGGTCAACCATCCCCCCTCTACCCACCGCGAGCGACATTAGATCAGCTTGTTCTCCAACCGCCTCTCGTTCTTGAGGCTGGCAAACATGGCGACGGCCTTGTCGAGCGGGATGGTCTCGGCCTTGCCCTTCATGTTGACGTCGTCGCGGTTGCGCACGTTGATGCTCTGGCTCTCCATCTCCTCGTGGCCGACGACGATGACGAAGTTGTACTGGGCGATTTCGCCGTTGCGCACCTTTTTGGGCAGCGTGTTGTCGCTCAGGTCGACGTCGGCAAAGAAGCCCTGGTCCCACAGGCGCGTCTGGACCGACTTGGCGTAGTCGTAGACCGACGTCGTGACGGGCACCACGAGGATCTGGCGCGGCGACAGCCAGAACGGCCACTTGCCCGCAAAGTGCTCGGTGAGGATGGCGATGAAGCGCTCGAGCGAGCCGACAATGGCGCGGTGGATCATGACGGGGCGCTCCGTCTGGTCGTCGTCGCCCGACGACGCCGGCTTGCGGAACTCGAGGTTGAAGCGCTGCGGCAGCTGGAAGTCGAGCTGGATCGTGGCGCACTGGTGGTGGCGCCGCATGGCATCGCTGATGGTGATGTCAATCTTGGGGCCGTAGAAGGCGCCGTCGCCCGGGTTGAGCTCCCACTTGCCCGGGACAAACTTGTCGAGGGCGGCGGCCAGGCGCTTTTCGGCGGCGTCCCACGTGGCGATGTCGCCGAGGTACTTTTCGGGCCGCGTCGAGAGCTCGAGCTTGAAGGTGAAACCAAACAGGCCGTAGACGGCCTGGAGGAAGTCGAAGCAGCCGGCCATCTCGTCCTCGACCTGCTCGGCGCGGCAGAAGATGTGGGCGTCGTCCTGGCAGAAGCGGCGGACGCGCGTCAGGCCCGACAGGGCGCCGCTCGCCTCGTTGCGGTGAATGACGCCAAAGTCGGCCAGGCGCAGCGGCAGCTCCTTGTACGAGCGGTCGCGCGTGCCAAACATGAGGCAGTGGCCGGGGCAGTTCATGGGCTTGAGGCCAAACGTCTCCTTGTCGACGCCGAGCACGAACATGTCGTCCTTGTAGTTTTGCCAGTGGCCCGACGTCTCCCACAGCTTCGAGTTGTACATGTTGGGCGAGATGACCTCGTCGAAGCCGCGCTGGCGGTACTGGGTCTTGAGGTAGTCCTGGAGGGTGTTGTAGATGCGGGCGCCGTGGGGCAGCCAGAAGCAAGAGCCGGGCGACATTTCGTGGAACATGAAGAGCTCCTGCTCCTTGCCAATCTTGCGGTGGTCGCGCTTGGCGGCCTCGACGAGGAACTGCTTGTACTCGGTCATCATCTTGCCGTCGGGGAACGAGATGCCGTAGAGGCGCTGGAGCGAGTCGTTGTTCTGGTCGCCGAGGAAGTACGACGCCGAGTTCTTGAGCACCGCCATGGCCTTGATCCGGCCCGTGTGCGGAATGTGCGGGCCGACGCACAGGTCAATCATGGGGCCGCAGCGGTAGACGGTGGTCGAGGTGCCGTCGGGGATCTTGCTGTTGATGATGTGCTGCTTGTACTTGTTGTAGTGGAACATCTCGAGGAGCTGCTCCTTGGAGACGACGAGGCGCTCGAAGCGCTGCTTTTCCTTGATGGCGCCCTTGATGAGCGTCTCGAGGGCGGGGAAGTCGGCCTGGCTGGCCATGCGCTCCTTGCTGTCGCCCATGCCCATCTCGTAGAAGAATCCCTCGTCGGTCGGCGGTCCGATGCAGAGGTGGCAGCCGTAGTGCTTCTCGGCCGCCTCGCCGAGCACGTGGGCCGACGAGTGCCAGAAGACGCGCTTGCCCTCGGGCGACTCAAAGTCAAAGAGCTGCAGCTTGGCGCTCTGCTCGAGCGGGCGCTCCAGGTCCCAGAGCGTGTCGTCGACCTTTGCAATGACGACGCGCTCGCTCAGGCTCTTTGAGATTTGCTTTGCGATGTCCATGGGCGTCGTCTCCCACGCGGTGCCCTCCTTGACCGAGCCGTCGGGCATCGTCACCTGGATGGGCTGGCGCGGCTGGCTGGCGGCGTGCGCGTCCTGCTCCGCCTTGAGCTTCTCAAACATGGCGATGCGGTGGTCAAAGTAGGCCGGCTTCGGCGTAAACTCGAGCGGCATGCTGCTGCCCCCAGCCGCTGCGTCCTTCTTGGCCTTGGGCTTCTTCTCGCCCTTGGCCTGCTGCTGCTGCTGCTGCTGCTGCTGCTGCTGCTTCTGCTGCTGCTTCTTGTCGCCGTCGGCGGCTGCGCCGACCTTGACCTTTTCGGTGGCATCGGCAAGGTCCGAGACGGGGTCGCGCGGCTCAGCCGTCGACGACACGGGTTGCGGCGCTGCCGACGACATCTTCGAGGGTCGGTTCTAAGGGTGGACGAGGGGAGAGGGCGATGCGGCAGAGCCGAAAGTCGAGGGCGGACGCTGTGGTGCGAGGGGACGTGGTCTCGCCGTTGAGTCGGTGCAGCCGGCGAGCAAGTGGTGTTGGTCTGAAGTGCAAGTCGGCAGGAGAGGGCGTGTGGTGGCAGGTGTTGGTCGCGAGCAGAGGCACAAACGACACAGGTGGGCCTGCCTGAGTGCCTCGCCGAGGACGGGAAGCCCGCCGCATCCCTCTATCTGCACCTTTTTTTCGCTCTCTTGCTGCTGGCCTGCCTGGCCTGGCTTGCTCGCTCGCTCGCTCGGTCCCTCAGTGGGGCCCGATGGTTGTCTCGTTCCACCGTTCCGATCGGGCGGCCGGTCCATTCACCCCCGTGCACCCTGACTCGCTCTCCGCGCTTTGCTGCCTCCCTTCTCCACACGCAACCGCCTGAGGCCTGGCTGCTGACCATCACCATCACCGCTTCGACGCCTTCGGTCGCCATCGCTCCGGCAATCTTCGGTCCCCCTCCTCTCTCTCGCTCCAAACTGCCGCCCCGCTCGCGCTCCTGTTCTACCACCGTTTCGATCGCAGCCCACCATGTCGACGCAGAACACGCCCAACACGCAGCCGGTCAAGACCAAGTCCAAGGCCTACAGCTCCTCGGTCGCCATCCAAGGCGATGCCGCAAAGTACCGTCACAAGTACAAGGAGCTCAAGAAGAAGACGCGCGAGATCGAGACGGTGAGTGGGTGGCGAGTCGCCTCCCTCGGCGAGCGCTGTGGGCGAAGCGTTCCCTTGTCGATCCGCCTGCTGACCCGAGCCGTGATGCATCCCTTGTCGAACGCCCACCGACTCGTCGCCCATCTCAGGAGAACGAGAAGCTCCATCTGAAGACGCTGAGGATCAAGCGCAACATCCAGCGCATGCGGCTCGAGAGGGCGTGAGTCGCCTCTGAATTAGCCCTCCTGGGAACCTCGGCTTGATTTCGCTGACCCGACCCCATGCCCCGTTCCCTCTTGCCTTTAGCATCCTGTACGAGCGACTCGAAGCGGAGACAGCGCCGCAGTCCTTCCGCGCCCCCTCGCACCACTACGACGCGGCAGGGCATCCAGTGGACCATTACCCTCCCCACCACCCGCAGGGCGGGCCGAGCGCAGCGACCTCGTATGGGCCGAGCTACGGCGCGCCCGTCCGCTCGACTCCGCACGCCTCGTCCCGTCCTGGCGCAGATCCCTACGCCTACCCCGAACACGACGACCGAGCGGCACAGCCCTACCGATACGGCTCCGGCGCGCCCGCGGATGGGTCTAGAGCTCACTCGCCGACCGGTTCCGCTGTTCCGCACGGCGGTCCCCCTCCCGCCGCCGACCGTTCGGCCACCCTGAGGCAGTACACTCCCTCGGTCAGCCCCGAAGAGTCCAGAGACCTCGGCCGTGCCGGTAGCAAGGCCGCATGATGCCGATTCGGCCCCGAACCTATCCACCTCCTCGAAGCCCCCGCACCGCCAGCATCCCAACGCGGCGGTTGTATTCTAGTCTCTTCCCTCACGTCGCCTCGGCCCCGTCACAAACACCGACCACCGACGTCATCGCAGTGCTCACACTCACACCACCGATGGCAGGTCATCGTTTGCATTTCGTTGCGGCTGCTGGCGAGGTGGCATCATGTTGGCCTCTGTGTCGACGTAGGAGTTGGACCGGGCTGCGACGCGCTGGTGGCAGAAGCCGGCGTCGCGCCGCCTGTGACGGGTCTCGCCGTGGGTGCCGGCGTTGGCTGCGCAGCTGATCCCACAGCGCTCGTCCGCGTCGGCTGCATCGAAGAAGGCGTCGGCCTCGGCGTCGGTGTCGGAGCTGCGGCGGCGTGACCCTCCCTTCCGGATCCCGTCGTCTTCGATTGTCCGGGACGCGCTCCCGGCTGAGGCGGAGGGGGCATCGTCGCCGTCGGCACCGTCGTCCGGCCCGATGGCATCGAGGTGCTCGGAGGGACGCCCGTAGAGGCAGGCGGACGCGCAAACGGCGCTCGCGTCGCCGAAGCGGGCATGAGCGACGGCGGCATCCTGGTCGCAGCTGCAGACTGCGGTGCGGGTGCCGTCATCCGCGTTGTCGGTACGCCCATCGAGCTCGCGTTGCCCCTCACCATGCCCAACGACGCCGCTGCAGTCGGATGGGCCGAGCCGGAAGCTGCCGAGGCTTCAAACGATGCGATGGAGCTCGAGTGACCCGACCTGGCGCCCGACGGGTCCCACACGAAGCCGACGCCGCCGAACTTGAAGTGCTGCACCACGACCCTCTTGTCGAGGCACTCGGCCTCGTACATCTTGACCATGCCCGTGTACGTCTTGATAAAGTTGGGCACGCTCGTCGAGATGTCGTGCAGCAGCGGCGAGTGCTCGTGGAACGGGCCGCGCTTCAGCACCTGGATGCGCAGCAGCGATGTGAGGTACAGGTTGGGCAGCGGCGTCTCGTCACTGGCCGACGAGGCAGACGAGGAGGCCGGAGCGAGGAGGGCCGAGGGGATGGTCGGAGGGTGCGAGATGAGGGTCGATGGCGTCTTGTCCGGAAGCGAGCCGAGAAGCTGCGGGTGGGCCGATGCCACCACGATCTGGCTCGGTCGCAGCGTCGACTGCGATCGCAGCTGGGCCGCTCCCAGGACGTACGGCAGGAATTGGTAGTCGTCCAGGCCCCATACGCCGTGGCTGCCCGCCGGCTCGAGGCCGTAGCGGTCCTGCAGCCGCCATACGGTGTCTAGGTAGAGGGGAAAGGCTTCGAGGCCGAGCCTCTCCTCGATCTGCGTCGGAGGCCACATCTGGTGCGACGAGCTGCCGCCGTCGTCGCCGTCGTCTTTGCCCGCCTCGAAGAAGCCAAGGCGGTAGAGGAAGCAAAGCCATGCTGCGAAGCAGAACTCGTGGCCCGAGCCATAGTCGATGCGGACAAACGAGCCAAAGGATTCGACGAGGTAGGGCGACAACTCTGGGATAAAGGCGTGGAGATGGAGAGGCAGCAGCTGCCGGTGCAGCTCGTCGGCCCTCTCCTCGAGCCTCGCTCCCCAGTCGCGGAAGGCGAGGTTGCCGAACCTCTGCGGCTTCGACTGCGGCTCGATCTCATCTGTCCACGCGTCGATGTGGCGGACGAATTGAAGGAGTCGCTCCATCGGCTCCTGCGCGTCGATCGAATGCGCTGCCGAAGCCGGACGGGGCGGCAGCGGCCGGGTGGGCTTGCCGACGCACGCCTCTGCGATCCTCTGTACAAAGAGCGAGTAGATGCCACGCGCCTCGGACGAGATCCAGAGGAGCGTGTCGCTGTCGCTGTTGATGCGCTTGACCGGCGGCGAGATGCGGCCGAGGGTGGCGGCGTCGAGCGCGATGCGGGGCACAGGTGGCAGGCTCTGCGCCGGCAGCGTCGCCGAGCCCGCCGTGGCAGATGGGGCGGCGACCGGGATAGGCGGCATACTTGCTGTCTCTACTGCAGAGCAGGTTGGAGCGTCGAGCAAGGCGAGCAGGGGCGGGAGAGTGGTTCGTCGACACGGCGAGGGGTGGGACGGGAAGGTCGAGTCGAGGCAGTGGGGAAGGGGTGCGGCTTCAAGGGTCCTCCTGGCTGGGCTGAAGAACGCCGGGTGCCGGCCGGTGCGCCGCCTGACCGGTCGCAGGAAGCGTGTGGAGGTAGGTGGTCGAGGTGGGTCGGCCTGCTCCTTCCCATCACCGACCACCTCCTTGCAGCACCCTGCCCTCTTGACACCACAGTCTCATCTGACAATCCCTCCCTCTCCCTATCCTGCCCAATGTCGGCAAGCGGAGGGGCAAAGAGGCCCGACAGGCCCGTGTGGACGAGCAGCAGCGTGGCGGCTCGCAGACGGCAACAGGAGCAAGAGGACGAGGGGCGGCTGCGGGCCCGGTCAACAACGACGGCGACGACAGCCTCGACATCGGGACAGCCATCGACCGGGTCGGCAGCGAGCCGATGGGCGGTGCCATCTCAACCAGCTGCGTCCACTCCATCGCAACGGACGCTGCCGGAACGCAGCTCAGCTGGAGCATCGTCCATGCAAGCGGCGCCTCGCTCGTCGGCCACGTCCCGATGGGCCACGTCGGGCACCTCCGTCGCAACGACAGCGGCCCAGCCTCCCACATCGGCTTCCTCCTCGAGCGTCAAGCCATCGGCGAAGCAAGGATACCCTGCGAGATCGAGCGTCTCTGTCTCGCTGCACCCGCCGTCCTCGCCCGCTCCAACACGAACACCTCGAGCCTCGCCGTCGGCATCGCCGATAGGCACAGGTGGCCTGCGACCACGAGACGAATCGAGGCCCCTCGGCGGCCAGGTCGACCGCATGGCGCTCCTGGCAAGTCCCAGCCGCGGTCTCGATACCGCCGTCTCTGGAGACATTGCGCAGCAGGGCGGGACAGAGTGAGCAGCCTCGGCGTCCCTCGCGTGCTCTCTGACCCTCCCGAGCTGACAGTCCATCTGCATCGCGCTACCACCATTCTAGCCTCACTGACCGCACCACACAGAGAGAGTTCCGGGCCTACATCTCAGCTCAGATCGACAGGCGGTTCGCGGGCAGTCGGGACGTCGAATTGCCCGTCCTGCTCGCCGAGAGCTACCTTGGCGCGCCGAGCAGCCGTGCACCGGCGTTGACATCGGCGTCGGCGTCGGCATCGACGTCGGGAGCGAGGGCCAAAATGGACGCCAAAAAGGACGACGTGGAACAGGTCATGCTCATGGTGCGCAAGCTCAGGGAAGGCTGCGTGGCATCCGGGCACCTAGACGCCTTCACACTGGATGGTGAGCGCGCTCGGCCTGCTTAGCCTGGACTCGACAGCGTCGACGTCTGCTGAACTGACGCTGTCGTTCCTTTGACAACCGCGACTTGCCGCCCCTCATTTCGATCGCAGTCTACGAGCTGTCCGTCTATCTCGCCCTGCTCTGTCTCAACATCCCGCAGCTGGCTTCGAGCCTGCCAAGACTGGTCCTGGATCTGTACCCCGCGATACCCCTCGAGACCGACACGATACCATCGCCCGAAGGTCGAAACGTCATGGAAGACGTCGAACACATCGGAGTCGACTCTCGCTTCGCGGTCGGCCAGGCAGCGTCGTCCTCGCCAGCGGATCTGCTGGTCCTCCGTGCCCACATGGCAAGCCTGCTACTCCTACGCTCGCTGTGCCTCTCGAGCCACGCTAGCCGCCTCGGGCAGTACGCCTCGGCGCCCGCAGCGGCGCAGGGCGCATCCCTGTCCTCGTCGCTCAAGGAGTACCCCGCCCTGCGACAGACAGTCCACGCATCCCTCGACGACCAGGCCAAGTCGATCGGCCTTTCTGCGCTGCCAGACGGGGCGACGGCGGCGCTCGACGTGGCAGAGCAAGTCTACCGCATCGTGCGCGACGCCAACGTGTTCCAGCTGCATCGTCTACTGTCGTCTCACGGCGCACTGACGATCTGGCAGCGCATCCTCGTCCTCCAGGTCGTCCCCACCTTGAGGGAGGTGGCGTGGCGCACGGTACGTCGAGCCTACCTCCACGTCCCTGTGTCCTCGCACGTGGCCATCCTGGCGAACGCAACGACGACCTCGGCGCCGCAGACGCCGAGCGGTGTTGCGGCCGCCCGCAGAGACGGCGACTGGATCACGAGGGTCCTCGTGCTCGGCGCAGACGCCCTACCTGAACCGCCGGCCCAGGACGGCACGGTCGGGCAGCCCACGCGGCCTGCACCACGGCCACGAACGCAAGGCCACGACGTGCCCGACGAATGGGACGCCGACGACCCGCACGATGGCGCGGCTGCCGACGACGACGACGAGCTCAGCACGCGGCTGGCAGCTACGAGCCTCGCGGCCGGCGCCCCTGGAGCCATCGAGGGCCGACGGTTGTTGGACTTTATCTCGTCCTCCTCGTCGTCTGCGGCCATCGCGAGCGAAGAGGTGCGGGCGCGCGTGTCGGAGACCAAGGACGGGACCTGGATTCTCAAGGTCAAGTGAAAGACGAGGCGGGGGCGAGGTGGGACCGTTACAGGGGGGGCATCAAACTGGTATTGGCCGGGACGGGAATGGGGGGGATGGTACAGGTGGCAATTCGAGGCTCTGCTCTACTTGTTGCTCTTCTGGATAAAGGCGAGGGCGTCGCTCGAGCTCTGCCGGCACAAAGGGGCGGGGCGGGAGGGTGTCAGCACGCCAGGGTCGCCGTGTAAGGCTAAGGGTGGGAAAAAGGCAGGGACGGGCTCACCTCCGGCGGCTTGACGCTCAGCTTCGAGAGGGCGAGTTTGCCGTCCTCGTCAATGACAAAGTGCCTGTCCGCGCGCGATTCCAAGGGTGCCAACGCAGCAGAGGGTCAGAGAGAGAGTCAGCCGCCGTGTCGCCATCGCCCGTCTGTCGACAGCGAGCGGTCGCGTGGGAACGACGACAGAACAAGACTCACGACCTCCGCGTCTTGTCCTTGCTCCCGGTCAGGGCGCCGACGAGGTCCCTCTTGGGGTCCGAGATGAGCTCAAACTTGATTCCAAGCTTGTCCTTCCAGTTCTTGAGCGGGGTGACGCCGTCGTTGCTGAGTCCGTAGACGGCGTAGCCGGCGTCGGTGTACTTGTCGTAGGCGTCGCGGTAGGCCTTGGCCTGGGTGGTGCACCCGCTCGTGTTGGCGCGCGGGTAGGTGAAGATGACCGTCTTGCGGAACGTCGACGGGTCCACCTTTGCATCCGACGTTGTGATCAGCGAGAGAGAGGGCAGCGGAGAGCCGACCGTCAGAACCCCCGACGAGGCGGAGGCGGCGGCGGCAGGGGTGGGCTTGGATTTCTTGGACGCCGTTTCGTCCGCAGCCGCACTGGTCTTGTCGTCCGCATCGGCCGAGGCGGCGGGTCGCTTGGCTTTGGCCTTGGGTGCGGCTGCGGCTGCGGCAGGCGCGGCGGCCTTTGTGGATGCGATTGTAGATGCAGCGGTGCCGTTGGAGGCGGCATTGCCGCGGCTGGCTACGCGGGACGAACGACGCGGTTCCGCCATGCTTGCAAACGTGTCTTCTAAGGGCGGGCGTTGAGAGCGAAGCGACCTGGGAACGAGTCTAGTGGCGTTGATCCCGGCGGGTATTGATAGACGGACACCGAGCGATGGATGAGGACGGGAGGGAGGGAGAGGAAGACAGACACACAGAGATGTTGGTTGCGGGCCAGTCCACACCAGGCCATGCAGGCTAGACACATCCGCGCTCCGGGCCCAGACCTGCGCCGCTTCGAGGGACGTGTCGCGTCGCCTGCGCCCGCGGAAGTGACCAGCTTGACAGGGCCAGAGCAAGCACGGGCCAGCCCAGGAAGGTCGATATTCACACTTTCAAGCGCATAAGATTGTATATGCAAAACTCCGGCCCGTGACAAGAACAGGCCGGTTGGCCCAATTGGTAAGGCGTCTGACTACGATCATAGTAGCACACACGCCTTGTGCTCTCTGTTGTATCATCAGGAGATTCTGGGTTCGAGCCCCAGGCTGGTCATTGCTTTTTGCCCTTGGCGGAGGGCAAGATCTTGCAGGCTCGAAGAAGCCGGTAGACAAGCCGGTCACGGCAGGAAGGGTGGACAGATGCTGGGTTCGAGCCCAAGATGGTCGTGATTCACCTGGCTCGCCACGCTGCAATCTTTTTTTTGCGCCAGAGTCGTCGGACATGGCACGCCAAGGGTGTGGCCGTCGCAGGTAGCGTCGGACGCTCGCCTCTTGACTCAGGCTGCGGCTACTTCCCTCGCCCTCAACGGCAGAGCTAAAAGTCAGCGCTTGCCTCGACACCGTCAGGTGCGATGAGTGACGGGGCGGGCGAAGTGAGAAAAGGGGTGAAAAAATAAAATAAAAATAAACATAAAAATAAAAATAAAAAAAATAAAATAAAAAAAAAGTGACCAGCATTGGGGCTCGAACCCAGAATCTGGATTTGGTTCAAACCACCCCGCCTTCCCGGCTCCAAAAAGTCTTCGGCCTCCAGCATGATGCTCAGAAAGCGCTGAGGAAAAAGAAGATGACCAGCCTGGGGCTCGAACCCAGAATCTCCTGATTATCGATGATGTTCAGAACCAAGGCGTGTGTGCTATGATCGTAGTCAGACGCCTTACCAATTGGGCCAACCGGCCTGTTGATGTTGGGGACCTCAAATGTTGCGTATATGAATGTACAAATAATTCTGTGAGTTCACAATACGCATCTCCCCGCTTCCAGGGCCCGGCCCAGCCTTGGCGCGGTCAGGGTACGGCAAGGCGCCTCTGGTGCCGATCTGCAGGGAAGCCGACGCCGCCCACCGGAGATTCCGCTGCGGGGGGCGCTCCTGAAGCTCATGCGCGGGCCAAGTGGCCGTCGAAACGCCCTGCCTGCCATGTTTCGAAGGCGGGCCAGGGCGGCCGGCGTGGTCCGAAGACGGCGGCGGCCCGACGAGGCACGAGGCGATTCGACGTCGTCGGCAGCGCGCGCGCTCTCAAAGGCCCCGAGAACCGACCGGCAGGCTGGCACGGTGGCACGATGGCAGCAGCTCTTCTGTGTCGCCGACCATGTTATGGCATGCGCCTGCGGTGCGTGCATTTGTTTGGAATCGCCTGCCCGCTGTGCCGCACGCCACTTTTGTATCCCGTACGTTTGTCTCGACGACGAGGTCAAGTGCCAGCGGCGATGGGAAGAGCGTCGCCTGGCAGCGCCTGGCCTGCCTTTGGGATTTTGCGCGAGCATTTTTCACGCCTTTTTCCCGTTCGCATAGAGTTGAGAGCGAGAAGGAGAGCCGGCGGCGAGGGCAGCAGCGTGGATTGCTTTCTTCGCCAGAACGACGGTCGGGCTGGACCCTTTGAAGTACGTGCGCGACTCGCTTGGAGCGTTCGGATGGATGCTGCTGCCATACACGTACGGTGGCGCGCCAGGCTGCTTCCGCCGTAACCCTTTGTCCGCCTTTGCTCGCCAACCACCAGGCAAGCAGGCAAAAGGGGGCCAGCTGGCTGGAGAAAGCAAGAGGCAGGTGGGCCGACTAGGCGGTGCAGGGAAGAAGGAACCAGCCAGGCTGCTGCCTGATCGTCGGCGCTTACCGAAGGCCCCACCTTGCGGCTGGCGGCCAGACGGGGGCGGTGGGCCGAGGGGCGGGCGAGCATCGGCATCGAGGCGGGCGTCGTTGCCTCCACCTCTTCGGGGCCATGGAGCCGCGCACCCGCCCACCTGCCCTCTTGCCTGCTGGCCTTCCCTCTGGCCTGCCCGTGGACCCGCGTGGCTCGCCAACCAACCTGCCCAAACCCTAGCCTAGGCCTGCCCTGCCTGCCCTTGCTCCCGCAACAAACAGCCCCGCTTCTTCCACCACCACCACCACCACCACCACCACCACCATCATCACCTCCATCACCGCTCTGCCGCGCGCGGCCCGTTGTCACCGCCCGTTCTCATCGCACAAGCACATCTGCCTGCCCGCTTCCACCGGCTCAGGCCGTTTTCGACGCGCTTCCGCAGCTTTAGTCCGTCGGCGTAGCATTGCTCTTCCCGTGATAGCAGCCCACACTCCAACTCCGAACGCTATCTCGCTCTCTGTGCCTCCCTCGCCGGCAGCGAAAGCGGCTGGCCGCGCGGCCGTGACGCAACGACATGGAGCGAAGCTGGTCGGCCGACACCGCCTCGCCCATCATCGAGCGCCCCACCTTTGACCTCACCAAACCCCGCAAGCATGCTCGCAGACACTCGAACCAGGACAGCAGGGATGGCGTCCGCGAGTGGCGCAAGTCGAAGCTGACGGCGACCACGAGCAGCAGAAGGCATAGCCAGGACCTCGCAGAGAGCTCGGCCGTCCGCCGCAGGCCAAGCCCCAGCGGCCTTGCGCAGACCGGCGGCGGCGGCAGCAGCAGCAGCCGGAAACAGCAGGGAGACCCGTCAAAGCCAAGAAAGCAGCAATCGCTACCCAACGAGCTCGGCACGGCAAATGCACAATGGCCCGCAGGCAGGCTCCTGCACGTCCGGGAGGCGAGCGTCGAGACCGACTCGATGACGGAGCGCGAGGATCCCGACGACCTATCGGCCGCGCCCTATTCGAGCGCAGCCTACTCTGCCGGGCCTTCCGGAGGCGCGCACACCGGCTACTCGTCCAGTAGCGACGAAGGAGGGTCCACGTCGGGATACGAGGGCTTCGACTGGGACGTCGCCGTCAAGAGGAGCACCGAGCGGCCACGTTCGTTCCACGGCGAGCTGCACGGCCCTTACCCACCGGCCACCGGTGCGACGGCGGATCCCGCATCAAGCGTAAGCGGCGCCACCCAGAAGTCCAAGAGGGCCCTCCTGCGCAAGGCCGACGGGAATAGCAGCGGCGCCAAGAGCCTCTCGCCGAAGAAGGCCTCACTGGCGCTGCCAGGGGAGCAGGTTTCCACGGCAGGCAGCAACGGCAAGGCGGCTGCGGGCGCCAGCGGACCGACGACAAAGGCCAAGGGCGGCGCCAACGCACAAAACGGGGGGTCGGTCGCAGGCAACGACAAGAAAGCTACGCCGCCGGCGTCGCCCGCGGGCAACGAGGCCAACGCGCAAAATCGCAAGCGGAGGCGGCGTGGGCTGCGCGTCAACCCGACCGTGGAAGCCCTCTTTGTGCTCACAGCCGCTGGTGCCACCTACCACCTCATCTCGCTGGACGAGCGGGCCGAGACGCGGTGCCACGCCTTCGAGCTCGGTGCAGTCACCGTCGCCAGCGCCCTCTACTTCTTCCTGCGCAACCAGTGGGAGCAGGGCGCCATCTGGGCGACGGACCACCGCAACTACCGGACCTGCGGCGACGACGGAGCCCTGATCGGCCTTCTGATACCCCCGATCATCGCTGCCACGAGTTTGCTGTCGGCGCTCGACGACCAGGCCGCCACCAAGGCGAGGGCCTCGGCTGCGGGCGAGCCGCTGCCGCGACCGCCTTGGATCGTCGAGGGTCCACCCCCGATCCTGCTCCACGACCACAAGCCCATCGCCGGCATGACGTCGCTCGTGCTGTCCCGCTACAACCTCATCAGCCTTACCTGCCTCACGTCGACCGCGCTGCTCTGCCACCTGCTCGCCACGATCTGGATCAAGCGGCCGCACGAGTTCCCTCGGAGTAACTGGAGGAAGCTCGGCAGCTTCACCCTCTTTGCCTGTATCCTGACGGCGGTGCTTGAAGGCGTGCGCGAAATCGCCATGTACCACGGCGTACCGCTGTGGGCCAACATGTACCGGTGGGAGGTCGTCACGGCTTGCATGCTGTTCCAGGCCAACCTCTACACGATTTCCAGGCTGGCGCGCAAGAGCTTCACCCTTGGCGAGCTCGGCATCGTGGCCGCGCTCGGCGTCACGCTGACGATGGAGACCACCAACCTGACAATCGCAAAGGTGAGTGTTGCTGCAGGGGGCGGGAAGACGCGGCGGCGACGCGGATCATCCGATGACCCACGGCGGACCTGGCTGACAACAACCGACGCAACCCTCTTGTCGACCGCCCACCCTCCGCTCAGCTGCTGCCGGTGACTACACCGTACATCAAGACATTCCGACGTCCGACGCCGCTGCTGATTTTCCAGCTAGCCCTGGTGGTCGGCACGTTTATCGTGGGCTTCCTGCTCTCGCCGCTCCTCTACCTCTCGCGCAACCTCGCGCAGAAGCCGACACACCGCCTCCGCTGGCCGGACAAGCGGAACCTGCACCGGAGGTTGCTGGCGGGCTTCTTCTACTTCTTCGCCGCCGTCTACGTTGTCGGCGTGTTGGGCATGTGGGTGCGCTGGATGCTCGTCAGGCGGGACCCGTGGATCTGGGCGATCCAGTTCCTGGTCAAGGGCCCGAAGCCGTGGTCACGCCCGGTGCTGGTCGCCTACTGGGCCTTGCTGGTGGGCGGGTCGATCCTCGGCTGGCAGACGGTCGTGGCGCGCGCCAAACGCTTCCGCGGCCTCGGCCCGGCCCCGTACGGCCGCACGCAGCAGGGCAAGCTCAACAACACTGCTGTCGCGACGGTGCCGTCGAGCGACGCGCCGGGCGGCCTTGAGCTCAAAGAGGCGGCGTCGCGGACCAACGGCGTCGCGATCAAGCTGACCCAGCCGAGCGGCACGGCGCTGGCCAAGGAGAGCGGCGCAACGACGATCAAGAAGGCGGCCCACCTCAGCCTCAACGCGAAGCGCAAGTTCTTCCACGCGCTGGCGGTGCTGCTGTTTGTGCCGGGGATTGCGTTTGATGTGAGTCGAGTCGTCCCTAGGCCCCTTGGGAAGAGAAGCTCGGCGATGGGCCCGACAGCTGACGGGACGTGCTGCCAACTTGCTTGCCTCCCTGCCCTGCCCTGCCCTGGCCGCCCGCCGACAGCCCGCCTTCACGCACCTTGCCTTCTCTCTGGCCTTTTCCGTCTTCATCTTTGCCGAGTACGTGCGCTACTATGCGCTCTACCCGTTCGGCGCGTCGCTGCACGTCTTCATGAGCGAGTTCCTGGACCACAAGGACTCCGGGCCCGTCATCCTGAGCCACTTTTACCTCTTGACGGGGTGCGCCGCGCCGCTGTGGCTCGAGGGACGGTCGCAGATCCTGCACCAATCTGGCGTGCTCGTGCTCGGCGTCGGCGATGCGCTCGCCTCGGTCATCGGACGGCGGTACGGCCGGATCTACTGGCCCGCCTCGTCCAAGACAGTCGAGGGATCCCTGGCCTTTTTCGCCAGCATCGTCGCGAGCGCCTGGCTGCTAAGGCTGTCGGGCCTCTGTGCCCACTTTAGCGTGAGTCGTGCCGACCCAGCCCGCCCCATTGCGGGATCCCCTTTCCTTGCCGCTTTTGACGACACCGCAGGCTGACGCACCGATCCTCATCCACCTTGCTTTTCGTCCGACGTCGCCGTTTCTCGCTCGCGTGTCGCAGCTGTGGAAGTACAGCTTCCTCACGGCCTCGCTCGGATTGCTCGAAGGCGTGTCGGAGCAGAACGACAACCTCCTCCTGCCCATCTTTGCCATCATGATTGGCTTCCTCATCAAGATCTGATGTCGACCCTCTGCCGCTGCCGCCGCCATCGGTCTTCAGGCCCCACCGCTCCCGGAAAGCACGACTTGGCTGTCCTGGAGCGCACCTCGCTTTCCATCTACCCTTATCCCTGCGAATCGGATAATCACTTGCCCGTGTTTCGACGGCCTCGCGACGGCGACGGCGACAAGGAGAGGTCAGATTGCGGCCTCGCCATCTCGCTTGGATGGCCGCCGTGCTCATGGTCCCGATGCTGCGTGGCGCGGGCGAGGATGAGGCTCAGGCAGCAGGCGATGGTATGACTGGGGGCGCTTCAGGAACGAAAAGGAGAGACTGGGGGGTTGCGGAGGGACTGTTCCGACCGACCGGCTGGGAAGCGTTCCACGACACGGGGGCGTTCTGCGACGACGCGGCCACGGAAAGGCATCTGGCAAAGGGGCACAGGACGAAGCGACACGGATCTGACCACGACGAGGCTCGATGGAAGCGGGAAAGGCCCTCACTTCTTGTAGAAACCGGCTGTGGGAACGAGGCGCCGGGGGGGGGGGGGGGGGGGCACCAAGGGACACGGTCGAGGTGAGGATCTCGTGCACCGTGTCCGGCTAGCTGGCTCGCACGTTGCGACCGTCGAGCAGACTCACCGATGGGCCTCCCGCTGAACGAACCGTCCTGTGAGACCTCGGGCGCGTCGGCTTCGCAAGGCAGGGGGGGAATGGCGGGCGCGAAGCGATGGGTGATTCTCGTCAGCCACGGTCGAGATTCGTTGGCGGCTTCGATCTGCCCGAAATTGCTCACCAGCCGGGTCGGTATCAGACGGGTCGGTCTCACGTCCAACCTCGTGCTTCGTCTCCGACTTGCGCACCGGGGAAGCGAGAGAGAGCGACGCTAGCGACGCGATTGCCACAAAGGCGACGAGCTGGCGGAAGAACTGCATCCTGCCTGGCCCACAGGGACGACGAGCGCACGACGAACGGCGTCGGGTCGTGGTTGGCTCGATGTCAGCAGGCCTCATCTCGGAGACTTCATCTTTTCTCGACCTCATCGACCGAGCTAGACGGCTGCACTCACTCTACAGGGCAGAGAGGGCGATGTTGCTCAAGTGCGGAACGTGACGCTCGAAGCTGTCGATGTGAGTGGAAGTCGAGCAGGGGCGGGGTTGTGCGCGGAGCAGAGAGGATGCACAGCGGAAGGGAGAGAATGGAGCGAAAGAGGGTCAGGGGTCCGAGAGGCGGCCGATGGCTCGAGTACTTATCTCTGCGGCCTCGCCGGTCGAGGCCGGCAGCTGGAGGGGATTGGCCGGGGTCACAAAGAGAGGCCGGCACGTTCCTGGCCTAGGCTGCCTATTCTATCTGCCTCTTTAGCCTTGCTTGGCGCTAGAGCGAGCGAGGGTTGCCGGCGTCGACTTGCTTGGCTGGAACGTAATACCAGCGAGGCTTCGGGGCAACGGCCAAGCGGAGGTGGGTTGGGAAATGATCAGAGGCAGGCTAGGAGCGGTGTGGGCGTCGACAACAGAAAATGACGGCAGCGCGCCCAAGCAGGCGAGGTGGGTCGTGAAGAGGCAACGCGCAGGCCGGCAGGCTAGAGGCTAGGCCGGGGTCGTCCCAGACGGCGGTCATGGCGCAACGCAATAATTCTCACCAGCGCCCCCACCTCCCCTCTGCCCCTGCCGCTGTCCCTGTCCATGGCCCCCAACCGGCCTGCCTGCCTGCCACAAGGAACGAAAGATGCCGAACCGCAGTGCCATCGCAACCAACCGAACGACCGAGCCAGGCGCGAGCCGCACGGTGGCTGGGCCCAGGTCGACCCCCGCGTAACCATCTGTTGCATTCCCACGTACTGCTGCTGCTCAGGAGGCTGAGGTTCCTGGCCAGGAACGCTGGCGCTGGCGTGCTTGTGGCGCCGGGCCGAAGCTCAAGCTACATAGCAGCGTCGGTGGTAACCAAGCAAGTCTCCACGGCCCCGCAAGCTCCCGAGCCAGCAAGCTAGGTGTACCTACCTACATGAGCCTAACTGGTCACGGGAGCGTGGGTGCGAAGCGTGGAGCGGCTGAACCGAACTTGCTGGCACGGCGCCGTGCGATGCCGCGTTCCTGAGTTCGGTCCAGCCGTCTCGCCCCAGGTCGGCCACGGTTCTGCTACGCCCGCAAAACCAAACCGAGGCTCTCGAGCTGAAGCAGGTGGATCTGACGCTCGCGAGGAGAGGCGAGGGGTCGTCGACGGATGCTCCGCGGCACGATCCTTTGTGCCTCCCGTCCCCTCACCGACTGTGACTGTGCTGCGTATGAACGAGGCAAACCGTGAGCCTTCCGCCGCCCGAGTTCCTGGGAGCACTACGTGCCGGACGACATCGTCGCCACGGTCAGCCGTTGTCTTCGGCGACCGGCCGACGCCGGGTCAGCAGCAACGTGACCAAGATCAGGTCAGGGCGCACACGAGGGGCTGAGGCATCGCTTCTCGGGCTATCCGTCCCGCCGACTGCCGCGGCAGTGTCTGAAACGGGCACAGCCTCGGCGCACGGGCGTGACAACGAGCGTGGGTTGGTGGACGGCTGGGCCGTCACGCACGGAAGATGCATGCATGGTCGAGACGACTGGCTTTGCTCACTCGCCAGGCGAGGCCCTCCAGAGCCCCCTTGCAACGCGATGGGGTGTGGCACGCAGCAGCAAGCAAGAGGCGGCTGATAACAAGCTTTCATGGCGCATCAGCTGGATGCGACTGGCGGCACATGTCGTCGCGACCCGGTGGCAAGGTCGTAGCTTCCCCGTCAGCCTTGCTTTACGCTCTCGCTCTGGCTCGATGAGCCTTTTACGAGCTCAAGCGCAGCGCATCGAGACTGAGCGTGCGCGGTCGCTTTCTCCTGAAGGTAGCCGCGACCCTGGCATTGAACCGCTGGCGGGCGGCAGATCCGGCAACCAGGGCTCTCGTCGGCACCATTCCGCTAAGCAATCCGCCCACTGGCTCACGATGCATCATGTGACGTTTCGGCGCTCACCAATTCCCAGGCAATCGTGCGTCCAGCAGGGGCGACGGCAGGGAGGTTCAACCTGCGATGGAGGCAGAGTCGCATCGAGCTTGTCGAGATGCTGTGGTCGGGGATATGATTACACTTGAGCGAAGGAGGACCGGGACGGAGCGGCATCGGTGTTGCCGAGGAGGGGTTGGATACAAGAGAATTGAGCGCATGCGAAGTTGAGACTGGTATCGGAGCAGCTGTCATGCCGTGTTGCGGAGGACTGTGCGGGAGCGAGGACGGAGGCAGGCGGGAGGGGGCGGGTCAGCCGACGGTCTCCGAGGCGACAAGAGTGCGCGCTTGCCGCCTGCTCGACGTCGCGGCGGCTCCCACGATCGCGCGTTGGCGAGAGTCCCGATGAACTCACCCAACACCACAGAATCGCCTCGCAGGAACATCTTGGAGATGAAGCGGTCCTTCTACGAATACGACGAGGCGCGCAGAGGGGTCAAAGAGAGCGAGCGGAAGGGTGAGCAGCCGAGCTTGCTGGATTCGGAGCGGGAGCAAGGAGCAGAAGAGAAGTGGGCACTCACGTTGACCGGCTTCTTGCCCTTGCCCTTGGGTACCTCTGTCCACATCTGTTCCAAGCAACGACGAGCAACGGAGGTCGAAGTGTCAGCTGCCTCGGCCTCTTGCCCGCACCAGCGACGGCGGCGGCGACGGCGGCGGTGGCGCGCAGGCCCGACTCACCTCCTTCACATTCTCGAGGACCATGTTCGAGTGCCTGTCAAAGGCCTTGACCCTTGCGAGGAGCTTTTTGTTGTTGCGGAGCGAGATGAGGATCTGGGTGTGGTTGCGCACCGACTGCTGCAGCACCGAGAGGGGCCCCTGGCCGATCTCGTACTCTTCCAGCTCGCGGATCTGCACCTCGGTCAGCTCAGACTTGGGCACGTTGAGATATTGGCTGCGGGTTCGAAAAGGCGGATGGAGAGCGGACGCGGTGAAGGGGGGCGGAGTAGGAGGTCAGCTTGATCGGTGCACCGCAAGCCGTCAAGTCGGCGGCGTTGGCCCGTCCGAGCAGGCCCGTGAGGAGACGCTCACCTCATCGTGTATGGAGGATGCTCAGGGGGGTGGGACGTAGGCCGAGTGCGAGGGACGGGGTCAGGGAGGGACGAAGAGAGCGAGCGAGCGAGCGGATGGGGGGGATAAGAATGGTGGTGGGGACTGCAGGGAGCGGCGGCGATATGATGGTGGTGTTGGACCGACCCGAGCGAGAAGCCGCAAGCCTCGATCACTCCACTTTTTGCGCTTCTTCCACTCTCGAGGCCGGGCCTCAGTGTTACGTGGTAAATTGATTGCCTTGCAGATTAGCGTTGGACGAACGCTGCACCTGTCTCAATGATTCCAACCGTCTGGCCCCTGGCCCGCGCTCTGCGAAAAAAGGCGTTGGCCCGCCGCCAACGCCGGTCTCGTGGGGTGGTGAGTCGACCCCGACCGTCCTCTCCTCGCCATCCTCCTAGCCTGCATCCTCTACCCCTCACCCACTCGACGCTTCAACCCGGCCATCATGTCGTCTGCGCCGCCCGTTCTGAAGCTCGACCCCTCGGCCAAGGTCGCCCCCCTGGCGCCTCTCGCCGTCGCCAAGCTCATCAGCAGCGCCAATGCCCAGCCCGTCCAGATCGACTTTGAGGAGGGCGTGCCGCCCCACCTCGTCCTCGCAAACGGCCAAAAGGTCGACGGCTACCTCAACATCATCCGAGAGCTCGCCAGCGCCTATGCCCACCAGGGCCTCAGCGGCAAGGACAAGGACCAATCGGCCCAGGTAGGTGCAAGGTCGAGGCGGTGACGGCTATGCCTCTTCCGCGGGCAATTCCAGCTAACCGGTCGCCCTCCTGCACCGTCTCCTTCTGCCCCGGTCCCCCCTTCGCAGGTCGACCTGTTCATTTCGCAGGGCGACAACCTCGCGCTCGCCTCGTTTCAGGCCGCTACCGCCATCGCCGATAACCTCGACCAGCACCTCGCCCTCCGCACCTTCCTGGTCGGCCACAGCGTGACCGCCGCCGACCTCGCCGTCTGGAGCGGCATCCGCGCTTCGTCGCCCGTCATCGGCCTGGTCAAGCAGGGCCTCCACGCGCACCTCAAGCGCTGGTTCGAGCACGTCGACTCGCTACCCGCCACCTCGGACGCGCTCGTCGCCCTGGCCGACGCCAAGGCCAACAAGTTCAAGGGCAAGAAGACGGCCGCCGGCTTCGACCTCTTCCTCAAGGACGCAAAGGAGGGCCAGGTCGTCACCCGCTTCCCCCCGGAGCCCTCGGGCTACCTCCACGTCGGCCACGCCAAGGCCGCCATCCTCAACCAGTACTTTGCCCGCCAGTACAAGGGCCGCCTCATTATCCGCTTCGACGACACCAACCCGAGCAAGGAGAAGACCGAGTTCGAGGAGTCGATCATCGAGGACCTGGCCCTCCTCGGAATCAAAGGCGACGTCACCACCCACACCTCCGACTACTTTGACACGCTGTACCAATACGCCGTCCAGCTGATCCAGGAGGGCAAGGCGTACGCCGACGACACGCTGCAGGAGGAGATGCGGGCGCAGCGCATGGACGGCATCGCCAGCCGGCGCCGCGACGCCACTGTCGAGGAGAACCTGACCCGCTTCGCCGAGATGTCGACGGGCAGCCAGGAGGGCCGCAGGTGGTGCCTGCGCGCCAAGATGAGCGTTGACGACCCCAACAAGGCGCTGCGCGACCCCGTCATCTACCGCTGCAACGCCGACGTCTCGCACCACCGCACCGGCGACAAGTGGAAGGTCTACCCGACGTACGACTTTGCCTGCCCCGTCGTCGACAGCATCGAGGGCGTCACCCACGCGCTGAGGACCAACGAGTACCGCGACCGCAATCCGCAGTACCAGTGGATGCTCGACGCGCTCAAGCTGCGCAAGGTCGAGATCTGGGACTTTGGCCGCCTCAACTTTGTCTACACGCTGCTCAGCAAGCGCAAGCTGCAGTGGTTCGTCGACAACGGCCACGTCTCTGGCTGGGACGACCCGCGCTTCCCGACGGTGCGCGGCATCCGGCGGCGCGGCATGACGATCGAGACGATCCAGGAGTTTATCCTGGCCCAGGGCCCATCGCAGCAGATCATCAACATGGAGTGGGACAACATCTGGACCATCAACAAGCGCCTCATCGACCCCGTCGTGCCGCGCTATGTGGCGCTCGACAAGCACGGCCTGGTCAAGTGCACCGTCGCTGGCGCGCCCGGCCTCGAGGAGCGCCCGATGCCCCGCCACAAGAAGAACCCGGAGCTGGGCGAAAAGACGACGGTGTTCGACAACGTCATCTACATTGAGCAGGAGGACGCCAAGTCGTTTGCCGACAACGAGGAGGTGACGATGATGGACTGGGGCAACGTGTTTGTCCGCAGCAAGAAGGTCGGCGCGGACGGCCTCATCGAGTCGATGGACATGGACGCCAACCTCGGCGGCGACTTCAAAAAGACCAAGAAGAAGGTCACCTGGCTCGCCCAGAGCGCCACGCGGCCGTTTGTCGAGGTGTCGCTGCTCGACTTTGACTACCTCATCACCAAGAAGAAGCTCGAGGAGGACGACAAGTTTGAAGACTTTATCACGCCCCAGTCCGAGTTCCGCACCGAGGCCGTGGCCGCGTTCAACGTGTCGGAGCTGGCCGAGGGCGCCCAGATCCAGTTTGAGCGCAAGGGCTACTACGTGCTCGACAAGGTGCAGGGCAAGGACGGCAAGCGCGAGTTTATCAAGATCCCCGACGGACGTCAGGCCTCGAGCGCATCCAAGGCCGCGCCGGACGAGGACACGGAAAAGAAAAAGGCAGCCGCCGCCGCCGCCCGCGCCGAAAAGGCAGCGGCCAAGGCCAAGAAGGAGGCCGAAAAGGCGAAAAAAGGCAGCAAAAGGCCCTCGAGCGCGGCGACGGCGTCGACTACGTCGCCGGCGC